ACTGGAAGACTTTTGTAAGGAAGAATGGGCAAAGATACCTCAAACAAGAATTGAAAGACTCTTGGCTGGCTACAAAAAGCGTTTACAAGCTGTGATACTTGCCAAAGGGGGCAGTACAAGATATTAACTCTGCAGGGTGCCCAAACTTTTGCAGATGCCATTTTTTTGTTTTCTGTTATTTTAAAAGTGTAAATGATGGAAATAAAATCTAACTTTTGTTGACATATTATAAGAATGTCTAATCTGTAATTTGATGCCTTTTGGAGATTTTTCCATCTTTCCTTGGCTTCTTTATGCACATTAATACAAATTTTTAGCTGGGGTGCCCAAACTTTCGATCCCCACTGTATGTTCAGCAGTGCAAGCCAAATAAATTCTTTAAAAAATCATACAATGTGATTTCCTGAATTTTTTTTTTTTAAATTCTGTCTCTCAGAGTGGGAATGCACCTACAATGTGAATTTCAGACCCCTCCATGATTTCTAACTGGGAGAACTTGCAAAATCGCAGGGTGTTCAAATACTTCTGTTCCTCACTGTAGCTTATGTTTAGTGAGATGTGTCCCTTGTACTGCTTATATAGCAGAAATATTCGTCTGATGTCCCCCACCCCCCATCCCCCAGCACACTCTCCTGGTGCGGCAAGGGTTAATATTCCCACTGCCGCACTCTTCCAGTGCAGTGGAGGTTAATGGTACTAAGGGAGCTTTAACGGGCACTCATCTAGAGTACCTGACTATGCCCGCCCTTTCCGTCCAGCTCCTCCAGCAGATGATATTGCAGTTTGTATGAATGAAAATCTCTGAATAGAGGATGGGCAGAGTAATCACTGTATTACTGCCACCAACAACATCAGATAGTGTGTCATGGTCAGTTAGCACCCCTCCCAGCCAGGGTCAGCTAGCGTTAGACTGCCCGCACACTATCGCAATCACGCTATAGGTCTCTGATCACCGCCATTACTGGTGTTGTGTTTGCACGAATCAATATACTGATCACGATCAAAACTATACTAGTGCTCCCTTAGTATAGTGTCCCCAAAAACGTGGTGTTAGCAGCCCCTCTGCTGTTTTTCACAGAAGAGTTGTATCAACTTCTTGTGGGCCACAGCACCCACCCAAATTCAGCTCTGCCAAACAAATCGCATAGAGAGCTAACACGGTTTCCGAATTTTAAACTTTTTTGGGCCTACTCCCAACATGGGCAATACAAAACAGAATGAATTGCGGTCATATTGGTCCATAGACCTGATTCATTATATGCCCATGTTCTCTGCTGCCATGACCAGACATAGATATGAGACGATAATGCGCTTCATACATTCCAGTGATAACACTCTCATAAAAAAAAAGAACACATTACATATATGAAAATCAATCAGGTCAGTCACCTAAAAGTGTTTTATGAGTATAACACTCAAAAACAGTTCTTAAACCAACATCATCACGCCAATAAAGTAAGATAATGGAAATAAAACATTAGGTGCTGCTAATAATAATAATAATACACTGTAAATAATAAATGTGACAAACCAAATAACCACAAATAATAGCGCAATCCTAAACCAAATCAATAAATATATAAATAACTAAATATATCCACCACCATATATGTGCAAAAATATTCAGTGTTAAATCTTATATAGGAAGTTCCCATATAGTCCATTCAGAAAAGTCCATATATCAATGATCCTCAATAAATGAGGATCAAGTAATGAGATCCTCCTTCACCAATGTGATATCCAGTGCACAAAAACACCCCATCAAAATGCACGCTCACCATGTGCTGGTGATAAATCAGCATATTATTTTATATCCAGCATTCCACCAGACAGGCTCCAACTTAGGGAAATCCTCTCATATCCAATTAGCACACGTGAATGAAAAAAATACTCACCATAGTGCAATATCATCCAGCAAATTTATTGTAAAAAAACCCTCTTTAAAAACCGCACTCACAATCAGCAAATATACAAACAGCGTTTGTTATTATTCAGAGCTGCAAGCTCTGTAACCAGTGTCTCACCAGCCTTCCTGCACTCAAGTTGGCGATAGTGCGATCACGTGGTCCGGACACGTGCATCAGCGTGCGTAGTGACGTCACCGGTTAGTCACACCCTAACGCGTTTTGTCCAATGACTTCTGAGGGAGTGGTAAGCAGTGTATGGAGGGTGCTCTTACAGAGCCACCTCCTTCCTAATTGGCCCAATCAATAAAACACCTGAAGGTGTAATGTTGTTACTTAAGCATAATGGTGTGTATATATCGGATTATGCTTAAGTAACAACATTACACCTTCAGGTGTTTTATTGATTGGGCCAATTAGGAAGGAGGTGGCTCTATAAGAGCGCCCTCCATACAGCAGCTCCATATATTTATTTATTGATTTGGTTTAGGATTGCGCTATTATTTTTGGTTATTTGGTTTATCACATTTATTATTGTTTACATTACATATATGCCCAACAAGGATCAGCAACGTACGGTATGTCACTTGACTTTGAGTGGTTATACTAGGATGATGCCTGCAGCTACAGGCATAATCCTGGTATTGTTTTTTTCAGCTGGCGGTCGGCTTTCATGTAAAATCAATCCTAGCGGCTAATTAACTGCTAGATTGCTTTTACAAGCAGCAGGAAGGGACATCTCCCACCACCTACGGCTTTCCTGTCCCACCTAGAAACATGAGAATGCAGCCAGCGCAGCCCTAGAGCTGATTAGAGACCGGAATAGCTCCAATTATCTCTGTGGTCTAAGAAACTGAAAACAACAAGCATTTCATCATTTCAGTTTTGCTGGATACAGCACCCTTTTTAAATTGGGAAAGCATCTGATCACACTGATCACCAAAAAAAAAAAAAAATTATAAAAAAAATATTACACCGAGTAAATAAATACCAAACGATTGGGCAATATATTGTGTTTTTGTGCATTAAAATTAAAAAAAGTGAATATTTTCCAAAAAATATTTGCATTTGAAAAAATTGCTGTGCAAATACTGTGTGACATAAAAAAAAATTGCAAAACCCACCATTTTATTTTGTAGGGCTTCTGCTTTAAAAATATATACGTATATACTGTGTGGGGGTTCAAAGTTTCTAGCAAAAAAACTATTTTTTTTCATGTAAATAAAAAGTGTCAGAAAAGGATTATTCTTCAAATGGTTAGAATTGTGTGTGATGTGTGGCATAAGTTTCTAATGATGGCCCTGAAATGCCAGGATAGTAGACACTCCAAGGTATTTGCTAATGGGCATGGTGCATATTTTGCAGGTCTCATTTGTTGTTCTATTTTTGGAAAATAGAAGAAAGAAAACTAAAATATATATTTTCTTTTCTTGTGACAAAAAATGGAATCTGCAAAGTACTCGTGTCAGGGCAGGGCTGTGGAACGGACAGGTAGGCCTAGTGGCAGGGTAACGCACTGGCTGACGACAACCACCACCGACAGACCGAAGTCCCTCAGGGCGTGGAGTCTAAGTCCCAGGCTGCCCTTCACCAGGGCCCCTGATGGTGGGGATGGACTTGATGCAGCCAGGAACCAGGTCGCGGCCCCCGAGACACCCCGGCTGCGGTAATGGCCGCCGCCAATGGCGTGTAGCTGGTGAGAATGACAATAGCGTAGTCAGGCAAGCTGGGTCGACAACAACGGGACTAAACGGTACAGAACAGTAGACAGAGAATCACAGGTCACGGGCCGGGTTCAGCAACGGAAGGTCAGATCGAAGGAAAACACAGAGAATGGTCTTAATCACAAGCCGAGTCAGATACTAGAAGAGTCACGAGCGTATACACAGAGCTGTAGGAAGAACAAGACACAAGTGCAAAGAGCATGTGCGGGCCACAGGCTTATATGTCATCAGCCACACCCCTCTGGGGGATGGACCTCAGAGACCTGAAGGCATAAAAGGATTCCCACCATGCACTACAGAATCCAAGATGGACGCCAGCACATGGAGTAACAAAACCTCAGGGAAAAGGTAGGACCTTGACAACTCACCATGCCTCTTATCAAATTCCTTGGGGTGTCTACTTTCCAAAAGGGGGTAATTTGGAGGGGCGGGGAGTATGCACTATCTTGGCATTTCAGGGCTTCCGAAACTATGCTAGGTAATGAGGAAGTGGCATGAGGGAATAGGCTGCCAAAAAGTCTCTCACATGTGGTATCCCCATTATCAGGAGAAGTAATAGAATGTGTTTTGGGGTGTTATTCCACATATACTCATGGCATGTGTGAGCAATATATCATTTAAGTGACAAAAAAATATTAATTTTCCAAAATTTATGGCAAAAAAAATCTTCCGTGGAATCAACATGCCTCTCAGCAAATTCCTTGGGGTGTCTACTTTTCAATAAGGGATCATTTGGGAGGGGGTTGTACTGCTCTGACATTTTAGCACCTTAAGAAATGTGATAGGCAGTCAGTAAGTAAAAGCTGCGTAAATTTCAATTATGTATACCATAGTTTGTAGACACTATAGGTTTCACACAAACCAATTAATATACACGTATTGGGAATTTTTTTTTAACAAAGACATGTACTACATGTATGACGAAATTTGAGTTTATTGGTTATTTTTTATAACAGGAAGTAGAAAATATTGTTTTTCAAAATTTGTGGTCTTTTTTCATTTATATCACAAAAAATAAAAAACCCAGTGGTGATTATTAACCACCAAAAGAAAGCTCTTTTTGTGTGAAAAAAAGGACATACATTTAGTTTGGGTACAGCGTTGCATGACTGCACAATTACCAGTTGAAATAGGGCAGTGCTGAATAGCAAAAAATGGCCTGGTCAGGAAGGGTGGAAAACTTTCTGTGGTTGAAGTGGTTAAGTAAAATTAGGCTGTAAACAGAAAGCTCAGTTTGGATTTAAACAAAATTACTTTGTTTTTCTGCTTTTGCTTCTGTGTCAAGTTTCAGGAGGCTTTTTTTTTTTCTTCAAATTTTGCTATGTTTGCCTTGTGCACTCTTTACATTACTAAATGTCTGTTCTTCTTCTAGCACTTGCTGTTGGCCCCATCTGATGTAGCTGGTTGGGGCACCTTCATCAAAGAGTCTGTCCAGAAGAATGAGTTTATTTCTGAGTACTGTGGTGAGGTAAGTAGTTCATTTTCCCTCACTTAGAAATGTTTGCAGGGGCAGCTGCTCTGACATTGTGCCTAAGTGGCTATCACAGCGATCATGTGACCCGGAATCGGGAGTCCCGGGTTAGAACCCTGGTATTTGTGCTGTGCGGCGTGCTCCCAGCACAAAGGCGGGGTGCGCAAATATGCGGCCCCACGAGAAAAAGCCCAGTTCTGTGAAGCTGCATATTTGTGTGACAACGAGGGCAGGGGTTAAGGGATAAAATATAGGGAAATGTGTATGTACAGAAGAGATGTACATTATACACCAATCAGACATAACTTTATATGACCACCCACCTGATATTGAGTAGGTCCCCCTTTTGTCTCCAAAACAGCCCTGACCTGTTGAGGCATGGACGCCACTAGGCCTTTAAAGGTATGCTGTAGTATCTTACACCAAGGTGTCAGTAGCAGATCTTTAATGAAACTTTAATGAAGAAAAAATGCAGAAGACACATACTATGTGCTTACCTGCCTCTCTGCACTGTACACTGAGCTGTACGCATTCAGCTCAGTGTACAATTATGGCAATGCCAAGGTGACTGAATTCTCACATATGCACGGGAATTATGTAATCTCAACCCGGCCAGTTAGAATGGCTGGGGGGTTGATATCCAAACCCACTGGGCTGAATGGAGATTCAGGACATCACAGCTCCAGTATAGCTCCACTTTAAGTCCTGTAAGTTGCAAAGTGGGGTGTCCTTGGATTGGACTTATTTTTCCAGCACATCCTACACATATTCAATGGATTAAGATCTAGAAAACTCATATCAACACCTCAGACACACGTTGTGTTCCTCAAATCATTCTTGAACCATTGTGACAGGGTGTATTATCCTGCTGAAAGATACCACTGCCATCAGGAATATGGTGTACTTGGTCACCAACAATGTTTAGGTAGGTGGTACATATAAAAATAACATCCACACAAATGGCAGCACCCAAGATTTCCCAGTAGAACATTGCCTAAAGCATCACACTGCTTCGACCACTTTGCCTTCTTTTCAAACGGCATCCCGGTGCTGTTCCCCATGTAAGCGATGCATACACACCCGATCCTCCACATGATGTAAAAGAAAACATGATTCATTGGTCTAGACCACCTTCTTCCATTGTGTTCTGATGCACATGTGCCTGTTGTAGGAGCTTTTGGTTGTGGGCACAGGTCAGCATGGGCACCCTGACTGATCTGCGAATATGTAGCCCCATACACAAATTGAAATGCCCATTTTTCTGCTTTCAACACATTTTTTTTCCCTGACATACACTTAAAAGCACACCATACTTTCTCTGTATGCCAGTCATCTGGATTTTTGCTGCCCTGCTAGCTCTAGTAGATCAGGAGCATGAGAAGTTTGAAAAAAAAAAAGGACTAGTATAATAGCCAGGTAAATAGCATTTTTAGAAGATGAGGTCAAAAATGGCAGCTCACAGATTTCCTTTAATCCACATGTGTTATGTAATTGTGCCATGTTTAATGTAGCGTATACAGTCTTTTTTATGGATCTTAATAGACTCCATAACAGGATTCAACTTCTGAAACTGTGCTGTGGAAAAATCCCCAAGAAGTGTCACATCCCGGACACCAGAGACCAAATAAAACTAGCAACCAACTAGATTTATTTATACCTTTTCAACCTGCACTAGAAAAAATGTCACTGGATAAAATCTTAGCTTCCCACTTTTTGCTGTAGAGAATACATAATAATACACGTTTAGTTACTTAATCAAAACACTTCTAAAAGGAAAAAAAAACAGCAGATTTCCAGGCCATCACAATGTTTTACCTCTGCACCTAAGTATTCGATAGTGCTCACCTCTCTGTTTAAAGGAATAACATTGTTTATTTAGAATGTTGTGGGGAAAATTTAACCCTAAAAATTTTAACAGTGTCTTTAACTACTTGCCCTGCAGAGGATTTCCCCCCCTTCCTGACCATGCCATTTTTTGCGATATGGCGCTGCATTACTTTAATGAACAATTGCACTGTCATGCAACGCTGCACCCAAATGAAATTTATGTTCTTTTTTTCCACAAAAATGGAGCTTTCTTTTGCTGGTATTTGACCACCTGTGCAGTTTTATTTTTTGCACTATAAATAAAAATAGGCCAACAATTTTGAGAAAAAAAAAACTTTTTTGACTTTTTGCTATTAAACATGTCCAGTAAAAAAATCAAATTTCATCATAAATTTAGGCCAAAATGTATTCTGCTACATGGCTTTGCAAAAAAAACTCAATACGTGTAAATTTATTGGTTTACTTGAAAGTTATAGCATCTACAAATGGTGGTATATATATTGGAGTTTTTTTAACTAGTAATGGCGGTGATCAGCAACTTATAGCGGGACTGCGGCGGGCATTCTGATACTAGGGGGAAGTGACTTGGTGTCACTGACATCCCCAATGACACCAATACAGTGATCGGTCCTAATATAAACCACTGACACTGTACTAATGGCACTAGGCATGAAGGGGTTTAACTTCTGGGGTGATCAAAGGGTTAACTGTGTGTTGTTTCACTATGGGGGCTGTGTGCTTCACTGTAAGCACACTGCTTTGTATGGCTCTGGTATGCAGAGCCATAAAAAACTGTGCTGTGACTGACAGGGGAGAGATCTGTATTGCTTACATGCAGGTCTCTCCTCCGTTGGAGATACTCGGTGATCACACAAATGGCGGCACAGGTAGGGCGCTTGTTCCCCCTACCTGATACAGCAAAATCACGTATATATACGTGATTTTGCGCACCTGTGCTGCCCTGTACCAGTATTTCTTGCTATAGGGCAGCGCGGCGCGGAACTGGTTAAATTGAGCTGTAGGTTTTCCAAAAGGTACGCTGAATCAATAGGTATTTCTTGATTGTACAGTAAAGGGTACAGGACTTTGCATATAACCCATGGCTAAGACTAGCTACTGTACTTTCTGGTGATTGGACAATGGCAAAAAAATTTTTGCAGAGACATCCACAGTATAACCCCTCTCATTCCTAGCAACCCTCAGTTTTTTGCTAGTGTCCTTCGGTATTAGACATGTCTACTGAGAAAAGATTACTTCTTATATGTTGAGATTCCTTAGTGCTCAATAGCCACTGCTGCTCTCTTTCAGCAGCTTTCCAGATTTGTTAACTCTCTGGGGAACTATACTGTATGTGGGCGCAAGCTGTAATTAACTCGTTCTTTTCTGCTGTGGTCTGAGAGTAAGACTGATTAAAGAAGAATTTCGGGATAGGCAAAAACCCATTAGTACACCACCCTACACAAAACACTAAACAGTTAATATAGGTGTGCGCACGCAGGGGGGCGAGGGTGCTTTTTTTTTTTTTTTTTTTTTATTATTTTTACACTGTCCCTTTCATTTTTTTTTTATCACTTTTAATGCTATAGCAGAGAATGCAAATATCACCTATAACTTCAATGGGCATTGCCATATATTCTTTTTTGAGAAATCTAGGGTCTATCAGACTCTAGATATCTCCTCTGCCCTTATATTATCTAATCTCTGATCGGTGTGATCAGATGCTTTCCCTATTTACAAATGGTGATGTTTATATCCTATGAAAATGAAGTGATAAAATGCTCGTAGCTTCCTATTTCTTAGACTATAGAGATGGTCTCCAATCAGCTCTATGGTCAACTGGTAGAAGCACTGGCTGCATTCTCAGGTTCCCCCGATGGCACGGGATTGCCTGAAAAGGCCGTGAAAGGCAGCGGGGGAGGGGGGGCATCATCTCCCGCTGCTTGTAAAAGCAATCCTGCAGCTAATTAGCCACTAGGATTGCTTTCACATGAAAGCCCATCGCCGGCTGAAAAAAACAATACCAGGATGATGCCTGCAGCTGTAGACATCATCCTGATATAACCATTCAAAGTCCAGTGATGTACCAGTACGTCGCTGGTCCTTGTTGGGTATATATGCTATGTTCTTCTTTTTTTTTTTTGTATGCAGCCTGTGGGCTGAATGAAAAAAAGAAAAGAAATCTCTGCCAGAAAAAGTGTGTGGTATGCCCACCATTAGAATAAACCGCCCTGCATCCATCCACTTCTAATGGTGGGCACACATTAGGTCACACGGTACCACATGCACCAGTTCCAAGATTGTACAAATGTCTAAATAGTGGCACACTTGAATAAAAATGGTCCACGTATAAGTGGTACCCCATATGGAAAAAGGATGACACCAAGTCCCAAACTATCTTTCCACTACTCCCCATGTAGTCTTGACATCCGGGGAGCTTTTTCCCTTGTAAATCCGAACTTACTGATTCCGGGTTGGGCAGTGAATGGAGCAAGTACGGGGGTGCTGCAGAATTTGTGGGCTGCCAATCGGGATTTGCAAGCACATCCGGAAGGACACCAGGGGCTCTACAGGCCTGTGTGCGAATTCTTGGTGGTTGCAGGACAATACTTGTGCTCACCACCGCACCAGCTTGTACTGCACTTATGGGACTCACCACGTCACCAAGTGACACTGCAGTGCTGGTATGTGAAAGACCAGGATGTACTAGGCCGCTGGTGATTGCCAGTTCACCAAAAGGTAGCGTGGCACTAGTACTGGCACTCTGCTGCATATGAGAGTCATCATGCATGTGAGGTATCGCCGTGAACGTCAGATCAAGGGCAGTAATTCTAACCGTAGACCTCCTCTGTAAATCTAAAATGGTAGCTTGTAAAGGCTTTTAAAATGTTGCCTATGGATATTAAAAACGTATGCAGTTTATCACCATTGCACGGGGCATACTCAGTTTTAAAGCATGTCATGTTTGGTATCTATTTACTTGGCATACCATCATCTTTTATATTTTACCAAATAATTGGCCAATATCTTGTGTTTCTGTACATTAAAAGTAAAGAAAGTGTTTGTTTTTTTTAAATTGCGTTTGAAAAATCGCCACGCAAGTACTTTGTGACATAAAAAATTGCAGCACCCACCATTTTATTCACTTCGGTGTTTGATTTAAAAATGTTTAG